GGTGGCCCCCCCATCACCCAGAGTCCCCCACCCCGCTGCAGGGAGGGCAGCCTGGGACCCCCACCGGGCTGCAGACCCCCCACGTCCCCGGGTGCCCCATAAATCCACCCACACTTCACCTTCACCCATCTTTACTGGAGTCACCAGTGAGCCAAGGGGGGGTGGGGGGGTTGGACCCCCCCCTCAAGTCCATCCCGCCCCCCCTGGGCTGCTCTTTTGTTTGGGGAAAGGGAATGTGGCAGCCCGCAGGGACGCTGCTCGCCGCCCCCCCGAGTCCTGCTCTGTTCCACAGCAGAAATGGGGTCGGGGGGGGACACGGAGCAGGAGAGGGCGCAGGAGGGGACATCATGGGGACACACACGGGTGTCCGTCAGTCCACAGCGCTGTGGACTCGGTGGTCCTCATCCTGCTGCTCCGTCCTGCTCGGGGACAAAGCGGGGACAGTCAGTGCGGGGACAGAGCCGGGTCCCTCTCAGGGGGGGATGAGGATGGATCCCCCCCCCCCCCGTGCCGGCGGTACTCACCGGCCGCGGTGAGCTTTAGCAGCTCTGCCTGGCTGCCTGCTCCTGCCTGCACCTGGCTGTAGATGGTGGTGGGGTGGTCTTGCTGCTCGGGGCCAAAAAATAGGGAGAACCCCCCCTGAGCCACTGGCCCTTTGGCAGGGGGACAGTCCTCAGCTGGGACAACTGCCCCTCCCCAGGGACATGGTGGCTCTGGAAAGTGCCCTTCAACGTCCCCTCGTGCCACCTCCCCGTCCATCCCTGGTGAAGCATGAGGAGCTTTGGTGTGATGCCGGGAGCCGCTTCCAGGGTTGAGGAAGGGGGTCATGTCCCCCGGCTCAGGGGACTTTGGGGACGCAGAGGGACCTTCAGCCTCAGCTCCTGGAGGGGAGAGCTGGAAACGGGAGCCTGGCACTGGTGTGAGCCCCAGCATCGCCCTGCAATGGGGCAGGAGCCAAATCCAGCCCCGGCATCTCCCTGCAATGGGGCAGGAGTGGAATCGGGCCTCAGCCCCCGAGTCTCACCCACTCATCCACCGCCGGGGGGTTTCTCCTCTGGATCTCAGCATACGGCATCTCCAGCGGAGCATCCTCGCTGGAGGGGGAGTCGAGGGCGGCTACAGAGAGAGGGGCAGACGGGGGTGAGCCGAGGGGTGCCGGGGGGCAGCGGGATGAAGGGAAGAGGGGGTCTGGAGCCGCCCTGGTCCAGGCAGGGATGGGCAGGCAGAGCTACAGCCAAGGAAAAAGCCGGTTCCCTTTTTCCCAACTCTGTTTGCCGAGCGATCCCGGCTGTGAGGACACAGCCTTGACCTGGCAGCGCCCACCTCCCTCGGATGCTTTCTTCCTCTTCTTCCTCCACAGCCAGACGATGCCGAGCAGGGCTCCCGTGGCCACGGCCAGCAGCACCAGGCACAAGGGCCACCTCCACCAGCCATGCGTCTCTGCGGGGACAAACCATGGTGGGTGCCAGGACCCCACCGGCCGGGGGGCACCGGGTGCCGGGGGGATTTTTTACCCTGCTGCCGGCACACGGTGTCCAGACGGATGGAGACGTTCCGCTCCTGGATGGGATTTTGGGCCACGCAGGTGTAGCTGGTGTTGAAGGCGCTGGTGGGCACGGCCAGGCACAGTCTCTGGCCGTCCTGGCAGAACTGTCCCCTCGGCACCCTGGGGTGCCAGGCGGCATGAGCATCGCTGCCGGCCGGCACCGAGCACCGCAGGGTGACATTGCACCCTTGGGTGGTGAGGGAGAGCTGCTGGTGGTGGATCTCCGGCTCTGGCACCGGCCCTGTTTAAGGGGCAAACAAACACTCTTGCGCTCGGGGACACCCCGAGGACACCCCGGGGACACCCTGGGTCCCCCAGGGAGGGCGAGCTGGGCTGGAGGGGCAGCGAGGGGGTGCGGGAAGGGGAAGTGCAGGTGGGAGTGGGTCGGGGTTAGTCATAAACCCACGAAAATCCCCGTGACAGATGCTCAGCAGCGAGAGCGATTTCTCTTCCCCTTTCCCGGCTGCTGCTAACTCTGGGCGCGGAAGGGTTTTATTGCCTCCCGTATGAGCTGCTCCCACCGGGGCTGTATAACCATCACCACCACCCGCCGCGTTGCAGCCGCTCACCGTAGATGGAGAGGTCGAAGAACTGATCCTTCAACTCTGCTGACTGCAGTTTAATCCGAGCCCCGTAGATCCCGCTGTCGCCCCGCTCCAGGGCCCTGATCTTCAGCGCCGTCGCGTTGAACATCTCCAGCCGCTCCTTGAACCGGTCCTTGGGGTTGGGGCGCTTGAAGCTGTCGGGGCCAAACTCTGCCACTTGGATGATGGTACTGGCACCGTCTGAAAAGCTCCATTCAATCTCCTTCACCGTCTTGTTGGGGGGCACCGGGGAGAGCGACACGTACCCCCCCAGAATGCTGTGCACCTGCTGGGGCTGGGTGCTGGCAGTGCCTGGCCAGGACAGGGACAGTCGGGAGGATGGAGACCCCCAGCAGCCCTCCCCTTTCCTGCCCACAGCCCCCACCCGAGGTACCCGTGGGCATCTGCCCACCGGTGCCTTAGTCACAGGAGTGTGGCACCCGCCTGAGATGATTCATTTAATCCTACACCCATCACCTCCCCTGCCAGCATCCCCAGCAGCCGGGTACCACGCGCAGGGCTGGGCGTCCCCTGGGGGTGGGGGGACACTGGGCGCTCACGGTGCCTTCCCAGCATCATCCTGCATTGTCCCTGTGTCACCCCGTGTCACCCCACGCTGTGCACGGGTCATCCCCATAACAGGGACCAGCCAGGGCTTCATGGAAGGGATGGGGATGCTCTCCCCACCACGCCTGCACCCGAGCAGGGCTCAAACCAGGGCAGGTTTGAGGTTAAACCTTCAGAAAATGTCCCCATGGTGGGGACAGGGACCCTCCATCTGGGGCTGTGGGGCAGCTCGCTGCTGAGCGTTTGGGGTGCAGCCCCCCTGTTTGTAGAACCATAGAAGGGTTTGGGTTGGAAGGGACCTTGAAGACCATCCAGTGCCACC